CCAAAGTGCTGGGATTACAGGCATGAGCCACCATGCCCAAATTCTTTTCTTTGTAAAAATTTTGTTCTATTGTTTATTTTTTTATAGAGACGAGGTCTATGCTGCCTAGGCTGTTCTCAAACTCTGGGGCTCAGTCCATAATCCTGCCTCAGTCTCCTGAATAGCTACAACTACAGGCCCATGTCACCACACCCAACTACATATATATATATATATATATATATATATATATTTTTTTTTTTTTTTTTGAGTTGGAGTCTCACTCGGTTGCCCAGACTGGAGTGCAGTGACCGCTCCCAGCCACCACAGCCTCGCCTGCTGGGCTCCAGCGATCCTTCCGCCTCAGCCTTCCAAGTAGCCGGAATTACAGGCATGCGCTACCATGCCCGGCTGATTTTTTTTTTTTTTTAATTTATTGTAGAGATGAGGTCTCACTGCCTAGGCGGGTCTCGAACGCGCGGGCTCAGGCAATCCACTCACCTCAGCCTCCCAAAGACACGGGATTACAGGCTGAGCCACCGAGCCCGGCTCTTATATATACATATTTTGTAAAGACAGTCTCACTATGTTGCCTAGGTGAGTCTTGAATTCCTGGACTCAAGTGATCCTCCAACCTCAGCCTCCCAAAGTGCTGGGATTACAGGTGTGAGTCACCACACTCAGCCTCATGGAATATTTTAAAAAATGCTGCCAACTAGGTACCACTCCTCAAAGATTCTAATTAGAGTCAAGTTGGACCATGGCATTATAGAGTTTTTCAGAGGTTCCTCAGGTGATCATAATAGGCAGCTAGAGTTGAAAACCACAGGTGTCACACTGACCGGGTTCCTGACGTTCTTGGCTATGTTATTAACATTATTTTCATTCTACCCAGGAAAAAAGTATGTGTAAACTGCCAGTTACCAATAAAAAGAGAGCCTTAAAAGAAGTACGATGGCTGGTCTGAAGGTAGTGAGTTATCTCAATTGATTGCTCATAGTCAGTTACAGATTGAATGCCTTGTTCTACTCTTTCTCACCTCTGTACTTGACTTTAGGTAGGAGATTAGAAATATTTTGTCTCAGATTTGTTTTTCTTCTTACATCTATCTCACTTGTCATGCGCCTCAGATTTTTTGTCTTAAACTGTTGTAAGTAGAAATGGGGATACATCCCATATACGCAATGGTGCATAGAGAGAATAAGTGCTGTTATTTTAAAATGAGATTAACAATAGCCTCAAAAGGAGGAGACCTGGTTGAAAAGTATTACTGTCTACAAGATTCCAATTCCAATAGGAAACTGGATTCCCAAGCCAAAACAAAGCTTAAAAATTATTTTCTCATTTTTCATCTCCAGGCCACTTTAAACATAACCTGATGGTCAAGGAAGATAGGAGAAAAAAACAGCTCAAGTAAATTCTCACTCGCAAAATAAATTAAACAAATCATCCACAAAGCAAACCAAAAGGGCAAAAATCTCCTTAAAATGATTTTCAAATTAGGACAATAACTAACACATAATGCCTACTATGTGCCAAGCACTGTTCTAAACATTTTATATGCATTAACTAACAATTCTCATATCAACTCTATGAAGTGGGTACTATTAACAGCTTCATTTTTAGAGACAAGGAAATTGAGGCAGAGACACGTTAAGAAGCTGAACTGGGATATGAACCAGGCAGTCGTGCTCTTAACCAGTAAGTTGTGCTGCCTCATTCGTATGAGAAAACTATTTCCAGTCTGTGGCTTGGTCAAAAGTATTAGAGTTGCAGCTACTCTCGACACAACTATAAGAAGTGGTTTGATAAGTAATGACACATCACAAACTGTTTTTTGGTTCTTTGTCAAATTGCTAATTTTCTAAAAACAAAATTTTTGCTTTTGTGTTATCTACACTCTAGGAATAGCAAAACTAAAACTAAGCCTTTTGGAAATTTGCTTTACCATCAAACAACAACTGCCCTTTGATATGCCTCAGTAATACAAACATCTCAACAACCCTGGCCAGAAGACCTATCTAAATCCACCAAAGTCAGTCATCCAGGAAAAGATTTACAAGGAGAGGTCAGAAAAAACAAGTGAAGTTATATGTAAGACATTCCTTTTCCCAAATTCAACAATTCATCTTACTTGCCAAATTACTAAACAGTCTATGTAACACCTATAGACATTCATTTTGTGCTTCCAATATGGGGGCAAAGGAAGGTCATTAGACATCTCATATCTCTCAGACATGCCACCAGAAGGTCTTAAATAGGAGAGTTGGGAAATGAGCGGCAACAGGAGGAAATGAAATTGGCATTTTACAATCTGGTATTTGATGATCTTTACTCTCAGCATAAGTGGTAACACAAAGGGAATAGCTTCTGACCAAGGATATGACTGACATACATAGACACAGATGAGGTGATGGGGCTGACCCAAGACCAGATCCTTTTAAAAGACATATAAACCATCCTTAGACTGCAACTGCTTCTCACGTATACAATTTCTGACAGCATGTGTGCCTCATTAACTGTGGTCCTCTGCCATCCAGCAGTCCATAACTACAACTCTCACTTAGATAAAAACTAGGTTCCTGGCTGGGTGTAGGGGCTCACAACTGTAATCCCAGTACTCTGGGAGGCCGAGGCAGGAGGATCACTTGAGATCACTTGAGGTCAGGTGTTCAAGAAGAATCTGGGAAAATTAGGGAGGGAGGGAGGGAGGGAGAGAATTTATAAAATTTATAATTTTTGTTTTGTTTTGAGTTGGAGTCTCACTCTTTCACCCAGATTGGAGTGCAGTGGCTGCTCCCGGTCACTGCAGCCTCAACCTGTTGGGCTCCGGCAATCCTTCCGCCTTAGCCTTCCGAGTAGCTGGAACTACAGGCACGTGCTACCACGCCCGGCTAATTTTTTTTGATTTATTGTAGAGATGACGTCTCGCCAGGTTGCCCAGGTGGGTCTCAAACCTGCGGGCTCAGGCAATCCACTCACCTCGGCCTCCCAAATTGCGGGATTACAGGTTGAGCCACCGAGCCTGGCTATAATTTTTTCAAGAGATAGTCTTGCTGTGTTGCCCAGGCAGGAGTGCAGCGACTATTCACAGGTGCAACAAGAGGGCACTCTCACTACAGCCTTGGACTCCTGGGTTCAAGTAATCTGCCTGCCTCAGTCTTCTGAGTAGCCAGGACTACCAGCACACCCACTTTACAATTCTTTGATAATTCAACTCAAGCAGCATTTATTTCTTCTAACCTTACTTCAAACTGGGGAAAGAGAATGGTAACTGAGGCATGCTAGAAAGTCAACATCTTAATCACTGGTGAGAAAGAAAGGCTAAGAGACTTTTTGTTTGAGAAATTAGAGAGGTAAGGCATTATTAAGGTTATTGTCCATCTCTTGGTCTAGCATTCAAAGCCTTTCAATACAGCTCCACCAGTCCAGCTAGTTCATGTCCATTAATGCATCTTGCTTATGTTGTAACATTCCTCGAAACCTGCAAGCTGGCCGGGTGTGGTGACTCACACCTGTAATTCCAGCACTTTGGGAGGCTGAGGTGAGAGGATTGCCTGAGCCCACGGGTTCAAAACCAACCTGGGCAACTTGGCAGACCTTATCTCTACAATAAATCGGTGGCTCAGCCTGTAATCCCATGTCTTTGGGAGGCTGAGGTGAGTGGATTGCCTGAGCCCGCGGGTTCAAGATCCGCTTGGGCAACTTGGAGAGACCTCATCTCTACAATAAATTAAAAAATTAGCCGGGCGTGGTAGCACGTGCCTGTTGTTCCAGCTACTTGGAAGACTGAGGCGGAAGGATCGCCGGAGCCCAGGTCGAGGCTGTGGTGGCCGGGAGCGCCCACTGCACTCCAGTCTGGGCGACAGAGTAAGACTCCAACTCAAAAAACCCCCAAAGAAACAAATCAAAAGAATCCTCAGATTTGTAGATTCCTTCAAACCTGCAATGAATTTTTTTTTTTGAGTTGGAGTCTCACTCTGTCGCCCAGACTGGAGGACAGTGGCCGC